ATGTTTCTAAATATGTCATGTAATTCATTAAAAACACTTTCAAGTTCTACATAATTAGAAATTACCTCATCTTGAGTGGATTCTTTTTCTCCAAGAGCCATGAGACACAGGTTGGCTACTCTATCATTTTCTCCCCAAATGGCTTCCTTTTTGCTGCCATCCATTATTGAAAGTTTATGAGCCATGAGTGAGCCTAGGAGTTCTTCAATGCCTAATTTTGTTAGGTCTTTTGCTTTTTGGATAGCTGTAACCTTAGCTTCCCATTCATTTGGCAAAGATCTAAGTATTTTTCTTACAAGCTCACAATTAGTATAAGATTTACCAAGAGATTTTAGAGCGTTAATAATATTGTAAATTTATAAAACATCTTAGAAATAAATTCAAATGATTCCATAGTAAAGAGTTCATAATCATGAATAAGCATGTCAATCCGAGACTCTTTTATTTGGCTAGTTCCTTCATAGGTGATTTCAAGTTTATCCCAAATCTCTTTAGCAGCAATACACCTAGAAATTCTATTGTACTTATTTGCATCTAGTCCACACACAAGAATAAGCTTGGCTTTAGCATTAGCTTGAAGGAGTTTATAATTACGCTCATCAAATTCATCCTCAAGTTTAGGCACACTCATATGGTCTACTACCTTGGTAGGGATTTTAGGATCTTTAGTGATAATGAGCCATAAAGCATAACTGGTAGCTTGAAGATACAAGTCATTTTTTCTTTCCAATGAATGTAATTACTATCATCAAAGAGAGGTGGCCTATTGCTAGCTTGTCCTACAGCAGAGTAAGTAGAATACATGGTTGCTATGGATAAAAAACTCAAGATTGTTAAATCTAAACAAGAGCCCCAGGCTCTGATACCAAGTGTTACCCAAAAAGCAACCTAAGAGGGGGGTGAATTAGGTTTTTACAAATTAAAATTAATAATACCCCAATAAAATTAACTACTAATACAATAAATTATTAACAAGTACAGTGATGAACTTACAGTGAATGATCAAGCAAAATAACAATGAAGTATAATTAACATACAGGGTAAATCAAATGATTAATACATGAATATTAGATAGCTATAGCATTAGTAGGAAAGTAAAGAGATTAGGGAATAGGAGACAAAGAGATTTATAGTGGTTCGGTTTAAACCAAGCCTACATCCACTCCTCAAGTTTCATTTGAGATTTTCCACTAACTTCTAGCTTCACAGGAGTGCTAGCAACCTCTTTACAAATGGAGCAATCCTCCACGGATTTTACATAGACTTCACAAGCTCAAACCCTTGCAAATCTTAGGTGATTTATAATCATTCTTAAGATTTCAAGAACACAGTGTTTGCAACACTTTTACAAAATGAAATGATATTTTTGATTTCAAAGAAAGCTTATAATAAATATCTTTCAAAGATAGATATATAAAATGAATCTTTGATTTTTCTGTAAATCTCACACAGGAAAGATGAGTTTAATGCTACAAGGCTCAGTGTATAATTTCTGAGAGAGGATGTAAACAAAAATTGAAGAACACTTCTCAGAGAATTTTTCAAAGAATAGATGTGAGTGATTATAGATCAAAGAATATTTTCAGGTTTTTTGTAATTTGTTGCAAATCTTAGGTGATTCACAATCACTCTCAAGATTTCAAGAACACAGTATTTGAAACACTTTTACAAGATGCAATGGTATTTTTGCTTTCAAAGAAAATTTACAATAAATATCTCTCAAAGATAGATGTATAAAATGAAATTTTGATTTTTCTGTAAATCTCATACAGGAAAGATGAGCTTAATGCTATAAGGCTCAGTGTATGATTTCTGAGAATAGATGTGAGTGATTATAGATAAAAGAATATTTTCAGATTTTTTATAACTTGTTTACATTAGAAGCTTTGGTATATATAATGAAAATTATAGCCGTTTATAGCCGTTGTATTCATTTGAATTTGTAGCCGTTTATAGCCGTTGTAGTCATTTGAACTTATAGCCGTTGTACTCCATCATTACTAATTTGAATATCTTCCACTCCATTATTACAAATTTGAATATCTTCCACTTAAACCTTTTGAACCTTTTAAACTGCTGCTGTGCTAGGCTGTTTGAACCTCTGTTTTTGGGCTGTTTGAACTCCTAATTTAATCAAATATTAAATACATTCTAACAACATTTAGGATAAAAGTTTAGGTGAAAAATAATGGGACAAAATAAATTTTGATTTTATTAAAACATAAAATCATCAAAATAAATTTTGATTATATTTTTCTCTTTCAAATAAATCAAAACATAATTAAATAAATCATCAAAATAAATAAGTCTAACAAAATGCATGTTGTTAAAAGTAGTCATGGAACATTTATTAAATAATTATTGGCTTAGTGGACTGATTTGTGTGAAAATTGGTTTATGAAGGAAATGTTTTCTCTGTCGATTTAGTGTTCAAAATGACGAGGAGCATGTGGCAGTATGGAGCAAAGTTAGTTCAATAGGAAATATGAAGAATTGTAAAACTTTGAAGACTTGAAAATGATGGAGCAGTTGCAACTACAGTTGGAGGTTAGTAGTTGGAGGTTAGTGGCCTGAAGTTTCCAAGGGAAATGAGATCATCGATCAAGGAATGAGGAGAAAGAAGAACTATAAAGGTCAGAAGTTTGTAGAGAGAAGGGGGATCAACAATCCAACAATAACTTAGTCTTTGTTTTAGGAGTAGATTATCAAGTAAGGAGTAATTTTGCTCTCTGTAATTTGTGACTAGTAGTTTTTGTAAACTTAGATACTTTCATTTAGAGTTATCTTTGTTTATTTGAATACTCTTTCTTTTAATTGTTAATTGTTCTAAAGAAGTCTTTGCACTTTCAAGACATTTAGAACCTTTATACAATCATCTGATTTTCTGCTTAAATTAATCATTTAAAATTATTACTTGATTTTCATCGATCTAAACTCAACATAATTTTTACTAACAATGGTCTTAATCAATGATCAGATTTAACTATTGCAATCACCCATTCCGAAGTCTAGTAATGGATTAGTAAAGATTATTTTTTGGTATCCCTCAATAAGTGTTTTTGAAATATAAGAAAATGGTAAAAGGATTAAAGAAAGCAGCAATACTAGGTATCATGAAAAATCTTTCATGAAAATGATCATGAAAGATTTGTGACCCTTAGATTACCTTGATTAGTATGTGGTGCTTTATTCTAAGTGTAATCCAAAGGTCACAAATCTTTCATGATCATTTTCATGAAAGATTTTTCATGATACCTAGTATTGCTGCTTTCTTTAATCCTTTTACCATTTTCTTATATTTCAAAAACACTTATTGAGGGATACCAAAAAATAATCTTTACTAATCCATTACTAGACTTCGGAATGGGTGATTGCAATAGTTAAATCTGATCATTGATTAAGACCATTGTTAGTAAAAATTATGTTGAGTGTAGATTGATGACAATCAAGTAATAATTTTAAATGATTAATTTAAGCAGAAAATCAGATGATTGTATAAAGGTTCTAAATGTCTTGAAAGTGCAAAGACTTCTTTAGAACATCAACGGGCCGGGCCGGGTCGGGCCCGCCGTGGGCTGCTGTCCAGTTTTATACTCTTATCAATGTGAATGTTAACATGTTAATGTGAACATTCACATTGTCAACAGGCCGGGCCGGGTCCGCCCACGGGCCGTGGGCGGATTTTGGGCAGCCACGAGGCGCGGGCTAATTTTATACTCCTATCAATGTGAATGTTAACATGTCAATGTGAATATTCACATTGTCAACGGGTCGGGCCGGGCCCGCCCCGGGCCTCTGGCGGGCTTTTGGCCGACCATGGGCCGCAGCCCAATTTTATGCTCTTATCAATGTGAATGTTAACATGTCAATGTGAATATTCACATTGTCGACGGGCCGGACCGGGACCGCCCAGGGCCGGCCATGGGTCGCGGGCGGGTTTCGCGCCGCCACGGGACGAGGGTCAATTTTACACTTCTATTAATGTGAATGTTAATATGTCAATATGAATATTCACATTGTCAACGGGCCGGGCCTGCCCCGGCATGCGGCCGGGTTTCGGGCCGCCCACGGGCCAATTTTACATTCCTACCAATGTGAATTTTAAAATATGAATGTTTGCATCATTAAATTGCTAATCGTTCAAAAAATATTTATAAGGGTATCAAAATTAAATATAAGGGCATAAGTGTCCAAGAAAATAGTGTAAATCAAGAAAATGGACTTTATGGAATAAAACTATACATACATGGGACTAAATGGGTTAAAAAATTCCTTCATAGACTTCTTGGGTTAAAACACTTCTAAATTGGACTTATCAATAAAAATCCCATAAACGTAAATACATAAAAGATTAAATATAAATACAAATATAAAATGAGACACAAATATCATATAAATAATGTGAGTCTTATATAATGTGAATCGCACCTCTTATAACATTTGACCTATGTATTCTTAGCACTGGTGTGATCAAGCAAAGGGTCACATATAACATTTTCTTAAATGAAAAACATCTGAGGCGTTCCTTACTGCAAGCCATAAATTCGGAAAACAGCATATATATATATATATATATATGTTTTTATAGTCGTCGAAACTAGCAGCCTTTCACTATCTCTGACTTTTCCTCGTCAAAAAACAACTGGGCTAATGACGACTCTTTGTTTTTTTAACGATAAATTACTTTGACAAGCAAACCATCCCCATCTCTTTCATTCCTTTTGAAAAACCATTCTCATTAACATCAACGATCAATCCTTAACAAACAACACCTCCCACCAACCGCCATTCTTCCAACCACCGCTTCTGCAAATGCATACCCATAATCTCTTCTCTCCCATCATCGTCGCCATACTAATCTTCACCGCGATCTCAAAACCATGTTATGGTCAGGTCAACCAACAATACAACGTTTGTAATCAAACATACAGTTGCGGATCAAACATACGCAACATGAGATATCCCTTTTGGGGAGATGGTCGGCCTCAATATTGCGGCCACCCACAGTTTCAGTTAAAGTGTCAGAATACCGAGTACCCAACTGTGACCATCAACGATCGGTCATTTCAAGTACTAGGAATAAATCAATCTAGTCATGTCATGACTATCGCGAGAATAGATCTCTGGGATAGTTATTGTACTCAGAATTTGAGTAATATCAGTTTGGATGGCAACTTTTTTTGGTACAGTCAGGCTGTGAGAGATCTATTCATGTTTTACGATTGCACCCAGAATAATTTTACTAGAGGCTTGTCGAATAATTTTACGTGTACGAATTTGGGAAGTGATGGCGGAAAGAGTTTGGGCTTTTACGCGGACGAGTCATTGTTGAGGGCTCTGCTGCTTGGAAATGTTACCAAGTTTGAGGGAGTGTTATGCAGAGTGAATGTTGAAGTTCCGGTTCTTCGGGTGGCTCTGGATGAGCTTTCGAGCAAGTCATTGTCGCTGCAGGAGGCTTTGAACCAGGGCTTTGAGGTGGTTTATTATGCAGAAAATGCGGCTTGTTTGGGGTGTGAGGAATCCGGTGGGATTTGTGGATCAGATTCTAGTTCCCTTGTGTTTGTTTGCCATTGTCAGGACCATACTCATCCCCGCAACTGTCGAAATGATGGTATGCCGCTTATTTTATTTTATTATTATTATTTTTTTAATGAGTAATTAGCATTTGTACTGTTGAAATTGCCATCAGTGAAACCATTATTCGATTTTTAGTTGCCATTGCCAAGTCATTGAGAGTAGGGTGGTAAACAAGCCGAGTCAAGCAAAATATTAAGTTGTTCAAGCTTGGTTTAAACACTTAAATTTTTAACCAGCCAAACATGAGTCAAGTTTGAGTAGCAAGTTATTTAAGCTTAGTTTCAAAAATTAAATGTGTTTAAGTTTGACTTGTTTACATAACGAATTAATATTGAACAAAATTTTAGTGAGCTAAACACGAGTCGAATTCAAATAACTTACTTTATTCACAGTGCTAATTAAGAGTGTGGTGATTTAGTGATTTAGTGATTTAGTTCACCGTAGAGCACTTCTTGAAGAATAGCAACCGATCAAAACCAGAAGATAACTGGCGACATGACAATATTATATATATTAGTTTTGTCTTTGATCACATTCAAACTTAGATTTACTTCATACTTGTATGCTATTTTGTTTTTTTTGCAGTAATTTATTCAATGTGTTTAAATTACTATTTTAAAGAATAAAAAGAAGAAGAAGAAGAAGATGTATTTCAAATTTGTCTGCCAATTGTATTTTTGCAGGACTTTCTTTGCTTGTTTTGTTTTATTTTGTTTTTTTTTTCTTGTTTTAAATTCCTTAATCAACAACTTCCAATGGAGTTAGTGGTTATAGTCTTTCTTTGACCATAAGGACAATGAAACTTCATATCAGCATAGCTTCTGAAACTTTGAATAAATGCTATGGGGGGGACCCATTAAGGGTGTGCTCGGTGAAAAATTATTAAGTGTTTTAAAAGTAATTCTCTATGTATTTATCAATCAATAATGTTCTAAAAATCTCTGACGATGATGAATATATATCTTCAAAGTCATAATCTATGCTAGCAATTCATTTCACTTGGCCACCACCACGGTCTATGATTTGGACAATACATGCCCAATTCCTCGACACAAGTTTAGTATCGAGGGAACTCCATTTAGCTATAGTCTAGGCTACGTGGATCTCTTCTTCGACGATTGCAGCTCACATGCTATCGATCAAACATATTCAACATCAATCTTTCATGTGTTTCACAAGGAAATTTTGGAGTACGAACAATTTTCAATGGATTTGTGCCATGCCTTGGTTAATGAACCAGCGGAAGTTGATCAAAAAATTGTTGGAAATGAATTATACCGGTGTTTTGAGAAAGGGGTTTGTTTTGCAATGGAGCGAAGCCAATTGTAACGATTACACTCAAAGTGGCGGGTGCTATGGTTATAATAACAATGAATTCCTCTGTTTTTGCCCAGATCGTCCTCATTTCAAAACTTACGATGATGGTAAATAAATATATCGGTACTTAGTGCTTTATAATTATTATTCTTGAAGTTTAAGAAGATTTCCAGTGTCTTAGGACAAATAATTAACCTTTGTCCCTCTTTTCTTTCTTTATTTCTTCTTATATGGTCGTTTTCTGTTTTACACTTTCTTATTTTTTATTTTTTATATAAATAATTTATCTAAATGTGATTATTTGTACTAATGGTTTATTGTGTTTCATGATTATTGTTGCAGATATTATAAATGTTCGGCGAAAGCTTTTAATAGGTAACATACCCTAAAATTAAGTTTGTTCTTCCATCTCTTCAGCCCAAAAAGGTCGAAACAGAGTATACTCACTCTGTTTTCATGCAGGGTTTGGCACAACGGGAATTACTATCATTGTCATGAGCCTTATTTTCATCATCTATCATTTCCGGTACAAAAAGCGTTGTGCTACTTCATCTTGGGTATCTCGAAAAACTTTTTTGCATCGCTCTTCAATGAAAGATCTTGAAAAGGCGGGCACATACTTAAACGTCCAAGTTTTTAGCTACAGCGAACTTGAAAAAGCGACAAGCAATTTCGATTCAAAAACAGAACTTGGAGATGGAGGATTTGGTACAGTATACCAAGGTATTTACAAAGAACCACTCTAGTATACACTAAATGAGAAATTTCACCATATTCAACAATTGCTTGACAGTCACTGTTTGATATATCTTGACTAGGCAAGCTCCGCGATGGACGCATTGTCGCTGTCAAGCGATTATATGAGCACAATTTCAAGAGAGTCGAGCAATTCATGAATGAAGTTGAGATCCTCACGCGTTTACGTCACCAAAATCTTGTCTCTCTTTATGGGTGCACAACGCACCATTGTCGTGAACTCCTACTTGTTTATGAGTACATTCCTAATGGCACCGTTGCCGATCATCTCCACGGTGAACGAGGGAAACCAGGTTCACTATGTTGGACTACCCGAATGAGCATTGCCGTAGAAACAGCAAGCGCATTGGCTTATCTCCACGCTTCAGATGTCATTCACAGAGATGTAAAAACCAACAACATCCTCCTTGACAACAATTTTTGTGTCAAAGTTGCCGATTTTGGGCTCTCTCGCCTCTTCCCAAATGATGTCACTCATGTCTCCACTGCCCCACAAGGGACTCCTGGATATGTAGACCCTCAATATCACGAATGCTATCAATTAACTGACAAGAGTGATGTTTATAGTCTTGGGGTTGTTTTGGTTGAGCTCATATCATCCAAGCCTGCTGTGGATATCAGTAGGCATCGACATGAGATCAATTTGTCCACCATGGCTATCAACAAGATCCAAAATCATGCGTTGCACGAGCTTGTTGATCCGCGTCTTGGATTTGACTCGGACTATGAGGTGAGGAAGATGATCACTAAGGTGGCAGAGTTGGCTTTTCAATGCCTGCAAAATGAGAGTGATTCAAGGCCGTCTATGGAAAATGTATTGGAGGTTCTAAAGGGGATTCAGAGCGAGGATTGCGCGATGAAAAATGCAGAGGTGGTGGATATCCGTGAAGATGATGTTGTGCTGTTGACGAGCAAGTCACCGACGCTTTCGCCTAGCAGGTGATCATATGACCTAATGCCAGTAGCTAAGTTGTGAAATTTTACTAAATTTTCAAAGTACATATTGAAGATTTTTTCAGTAGTTGATGTACTTAGATGCTGAGTTTGAGTGTTATGCCATCTTTTTACTGGATTTTTTTATACTGAAGTTGATGTATATATTGCGTCATTTCATTAAATTGATTGTAAAATAGCAATGCGTTTCATATGGAGATTGAAATGTAATTCACTATTTATATACTGAATGTAACTGAGTCATAATAAAATGTATCTGCTAATGTGAATGAGACTATCTCATAGAAGTATTGATAATAAGAAAACATTTTGATTAAGCTACTTTTTCTTTTTCTTTTTTTGTTAATAAGAAACGAATTTTGAGGGTTTTCTTTTTTTTTAATAAGCCCATTCTTGTTGGTTGAATTAACTTCCCCAGTTGATGCAGGGGAAGTTTTGTTTGTTTATTTTGTGCTCGTTTTTGCTGGTTTTTGGTGTAATGGTCTCTAGCTTTGATTCCAAATGTAGTACTCTCTCTTTCCTATTCTAATAAAGTTAACTTCTCTGCTGTTCAAAAAAAAAAAAAAAAGGTTGGTATTTTCAACCACATGAACAAAGATACTGTTGAAATTTGAATTGAACCAGTTCATCCAATTATATGTGACAAATTTTCAGTGTAGACTTTCCCATATTTATCTTCTCATAAATAAACAAATATATATAATCAACAGGAACAGAGTTCATTATAAACAAATTCAAAATGATTTTATAAATTGCAAACATGTTAAATTATTTAGTACTACCCGTGACGTTATCTAGTAATCTTTATGGGATGACATAAACATATTCAAGATGATTGTATGAGCTCATGAACACTTGCATGAAGATGCAGAATAATCATTCTAAGCACACTGAAAAAGAAAAAAGGGAAAGAAGAGTTGCAAATTTGTTGAATACATACTCTCTTAAGGCTTGATGGCTGATACATAATTTAAAAAGGAAGTTGAAGTGTTGACGATGTTATTGAAGAATCCATTGGTGGTCTTGAAGGAGAAGATAAGTAGGGTTTCGGAGGGATCTCCAAACCTTCCATGTCACCTTCCAACATCTCCACAACCTTACTCATTGATGGCCTCTGTGATGGATCTGTTTGTATGCACCACAAACCAACTAATATCATCTTCCTTGTAATTTCCCCTTCCTCAGTAGTCATGTCACCATGCAGTCCTAGATCCTCATCTTGCTCGAGACGCTTATAAATCCAGTGCGGAAAATATATCTCACTAGTATGATCCACTGCAACATTGACGTTCCTACGACCTCCAACCATTTCAAGAACCATCATTCCATAACTGTACACATCGGACTTATGTGACACTCCTCCAAAGTTTCTACTGAATACTTCTGGAGCAATGTAGCCAATGGTTCCTCTAGCTCCCACCATTGATACTATACTTTCTTTTGTAGTGCATAGTTTAGCAAGCCCGAAATCAGAGATCTTAGGGCAAAATTCCTCATCTAGAAGAATGTTGTGAGGTTTTATGTCAAAATGCAATATCCGTGTTTTGCATCCGCGGTGCAAGTACTCAAGTCCTCGAGCTATTCCAACCGCAATTTGGTACAGTTTTTCTAATCCCAGGTGCCCACCATTCTGCAATGGATTTTCCCCATATATAAATTTTTCTAGAGATCCGTTAGGCATCAACTCGTAAATTAGTGCTCTTTTGCCACCCTCGAGACAAAATCCCAGAAAGGCAACGACATTGACATGAGAAGTCCTACTGATGCTTGCAACCTCATTGATGAACTCTTCTCCATTTCCCTTGGATGCATTCAAGTTCTTCACTGCCACAAGACGTCCATCCAGTAGCTTTCCTTTGTAGACGCTGCCATAACCTCCTTGACCAAGTTTGTCTCTAAAGGAATTTGTTATTTTCTTGACATCTGAATAGCTATACCTTTTTGGAGCCAAGGATTTATAATGTCTGATGAAGGACTCAAGATTTTGGTCATTTTCTGTTTTCTTCTTCCATAATACAATTAATTTTTTTGACCAAAGCTTCCTTCTATAGCAGCAGATAATGATACACATTAGTAACATTCCCATCCCAGCAGCAGAAGCTCCTGTATATAAAAACAAGGGTAACTTAATTAGAGTGATGAATTGTACTCCTTGAATATTATTTTGGTCTTTTTTCTTCTTTTTTTTTCATTTTTTTTTCATTTCTGAACAAGAGGAAAAAGTAGGCTTTTTTGCATCTAGGAACCAGCAAAAGGAAGGGTACCTATTGTCAACTTCTGCCTCATCTTCCTATTGGCCCCTGCATGCAAAATTGGAGCAATTAGCAACTCCTTGAAGAAAAACAATCGACAAAATTGTCGAAAACAACACCAATTTTTTTGGTACACTTTGTTCCAGTTACACAATTTGGTGGAAGAAGTATAAACATACAAGCTGACAGCTTAAATAATTATGAGACTAACTTGTAATGTGTTTCAGATAAGTGTCTTCTCATCTTTGTATGCAATGCATTTTCTTAGCATCACGTACAGAACTCTTCGAAGACAACTTATTCTAGGTAAGGTTATTAAAATCGGGATCCTAAGTAGGATGAGTGAGAGGGGCTGGTGGATCGAATCGTAGGATCGGATCGAGGATCGTAAAGATCCTACTTTTTATTTAAAAAAAAAGATAAAAATTAAAATTAAAATGATAAATATTAAAAATAAGGTGAAAAATCATAAAATTTACGATCCTACTTGCGATCCTATCTACGATCCTACACGATCCCATACGATCCTACACGATCCCATGCGATCCTACATGATCCTACTTGCGATCCTGTTATAACATCGATCCTACAACGATCTGGATAAAGTAGGATCGTACGATCGTACGATCCTACGATCCGGATCGCGACTTTAACAACCATGATTCTAGGAAGTCTTGACATTTGTAGATGATGGATGACCTAATGTTTTGGCCACAACAATTCTGCAGAGTACAAAATGGAATGGGTTGACCCCCTTTCAAAATTCCCGCATAATTGGGCTAGATTCACTCCATTGTAAAAGTGTTACGCACCAACTTAATCAATTAGTTTATGGTCAAAATCATATGGCTTAGACAATTAAGCTAATTAGTTAAGATAGTGAAACATATTTGTCGACTGCAATTAACAAGCAGCTTATTACCATGATGAGTAATAGAAATATGCAACAGGGGAAGCTAAACAAAATGCACATGTGAAGAGAAAGGCTGATATTATACCATCACAAGCTAAAGGATGAGGTTGGTCCTGGCAAAAGCAGAGGAATTTCTCAGATGTCACATAGCCGTCTCCAGACTGCGAAAAATCAAATCCAGATCCACATATCCCACCGGATGCCTCACAAGCTGAACAGACCACATCATCTGGGTTATACACAACATTAAACCCTTGATTAAATGCTTGCTGCAGTGTCAATTTTCCATTCCACAGCTCCTCATAAGCGGTCCAAAGAACAGGAACTACAATATTGACGTCACATCCAGTGACATTTTGGCCAACAAAGCTTGCAAAGAAAGCACCACTACTTCTGCTACCATTTATTGGACAGGTAAAATTGTAGCGAACCTGTTCTGTCACATTAGAAGTACAACCATAAAACATGTAGAGGTAGCGAACCATGTCGTCATATGTAAAAAGGTTGCTCGCCTTCAAAGCGGTGCTACTGAATTCCTTGGGACAAACACCATTCCAGAGATCATTTCGTGCAATTGTCATTGTGCTACTAGTTGTATTGATCTTAAGCACGCGGAATGTCAGCGTGTCAATCTGAATAATTGGGTACTGGTTATTTATGCATTTCAGCTGAAATTCATCACGACCACAAAATCTCTCTCTCTCATCCCCCCAGAAGGGATATTTGACACCCTGTATGCTTCCACAATTGTAGGGATGACTTCTGCAATTCTTGTATCTTTCTTCCTCAGCATGGCTAGACTTTGTACAGATGATGAAGATGAGGAGAAGGGTGATGAATTGTGCAAGAGATGACTGGAAGAGCTGAGGACTCATTTGCTTGAACAAAAAGGCTAATCAATGTTCAAAGGAAATGTGGCCACAACATTCTCAAAGAAGACATAGATTTATGTATTATCATTTTAACAAGGTCAGCACCTACAGCTGTACATATATAGGAGAAAATGAGAGAGCATATTTTGTATCACTGACTCTGAAGCCAATGCTTATTTAAGTCAACTAAATGTCGCTCTCTATCTCTCTCAATGTATTATTTTAACATTAGCCAGAAGTCTATTTATTTGAAAACTTTTTGGCTAACATACGTTTAGGGGTCCGGAAGTTCTCACAAGTATTTACTTGAACGTTGTTGAAAAAGTCTATGATACAATAGGAAATGCCAAGCAAAACAAAGGTTACAAGTTTTTGATAAGTTTTATAGACTGCTTTGAAATTTATTATTACCCTATATTTAAAATACCAGTATCTCCATTCATGTTATATTATTATCATAAAGCAGAAAGAAAATGAAGTTTCATTTGTTTTTCTGGGTGGGGGAGAGGGTTTGGTGGTGATAGTGACGGACAACAGAGAGGCAGCGGCTGTGTTTGGCAGTGGCAAGGGTGGGGGAGAGGGGTAAGTGGGTGTGTAGAAATTTTTTTTAAGGGTTTCTGTTCTTAATGGTAATTTTATGAAGAGATAAAATCCTAATAAAAAAGTCAAATTAAATGATGGGTGCAAAGTGATCAATCAGGGGGGTCTAAATAGAAGCGCCCACCGAATTGAGTTAGTTGACTTTACAAAGTAAATGTGGTGACATATTTAACCTTGACAACCAATCTAGACACACAACAAGCCCAAATTAGCCATTAGTGACATTTGGACTCCCTGGAATTAACAAATACGAAACAAAGATCACTAAAACCCTGCCATTCTCACACAGACAATCTTATACAACAATTCTCATGGGCAGAGTAGCAAAGGAATTAGGTATAATCTTCAAAATCACACTCATTCAGGTACTGGTTAAGGACTAGGAAACCACTTGAACTCTTACTTACATCTTTAATGGACAATATTGAAATTTGCTTGGAGTGTAAACAATCTTTTGCACTCTTATGTGAACCAGCACAACCATTGCCATGTGAGAAATTTTCAGTGTAGCTTTTCTTATATATTATCTTCACATAAATAGAGCCACAAAATTTGGATATCATTTTATGTCGAATCAAGTTTTTTTGTTTATTTATTTATTTTTTAATTTTTTTTTCATCTAGTAACAAATCCTAACAAACGCTTATATTGAGCTCCACAAATAAGTGACTTCTACTGCGTCAATGCAGTAATCCAAATATATATATAAGTTTTGATATGGCTGAATGCATAGCCTTTAAGACTTGATCCCAATGAGCTTTGCTACTTAGTTTGTTTGCAATGCCAAAAGAAGAGTTGCGATAAATATATATATTTTTAACTATATCTGTATTGATAAACATATACAAAAGCATGAAAACATCAATTAGTGACTACTATTGATCAGCTACCTGCTTGATCACTACACCATCATGACTTCATGCACTATCTGTTTATATCTATAAATATTTCCAAATATGTGTTATCAATTAAATGTCTTGTGCTAAATGTAATTAATTTGTTGGCAATTGACCGGAGATATAATTAATTAACCTATAGTTGAATTCCTTTAATATTTCCAAATGTGTTATAAATTAGATGTCTGGGGTTAAGTTGTTGACTAGATCATTAGTATAGGTTGGTCAATTAAGGTCTGTGTGTCCAAGTATCGCTGATTAAAGAATCTTTTAGAAGCTATGCAATAGTAGCTCCATACATATTTAAGGTATATAATTCCACAAACAACAACAGCAATGGCAATACGCGTAAAACCCAAGTTTTGTATATAATTATTTTTGGATAGATTAGTAATTAAATTAATTTATATGGGTCATTTAATAATATCAAGGAATTAGTTATGAGATGGTATTGTAATTTCTATAACATAGATGGGTAATTTTATAATTTTGAGAAACTAGGTTAATAAACCCACATGTTTTGCTGCAAGTCTGGGAGAAGAACAAAAAACAGAGGGCTCAGAAGGTTTATTTTGAAGGCTGCCGCAGGGTTTGAAAAAGAACACACACACACACACACAAAAAAAGAAGAAAAAAAAAAGGAGAAGATTCATGGAGTGGTGATTTTGATCTAATCATCTCTTGGAGGTAAGATTTTTAATGGCACTCCTATCTATTAATTTAGTTTTAATATAACAAAGCTTGATTCGTATGGGTAAATATGAAAAGATAAACATATTTGTCTAATCTGATATTGGGTGTCGGTTTTGCCAAAATATGAATACGGTGGGTTGTTTTGGCACTTAAAAGGGGATTTCTTTAGACAGAGTATCTTGTATGTTGATTGGGTGTGTGTATTTTGGGCTGATATGTGATAGGTAATTCTAATGGTGGTGAATTTGTAGGATACAAGCTTTGACTGCTAGTAACTATGGGTTTACATATGTAAAAAAATAACAATAGAATAAAATAAGTCTTGAAGATTGTGGAAGCCGTATTTTGGGGTTTTGGAATTTACTTGTAGACTATAGGATTAGATTATTATATTATAAAGAAAAGAATAATGGATGAATCATGGTGATCAATAATAATTGTTTATGTGATATAATATTTTATTAGGTTTGTGAGATTGAGGTGGATTTTGGTAATTTGAGATTAGCTTGAGAAATATTATTTTAGCTGTTTGAGGTAAGTAATCCTCTATCACTGTTGGTACTTTTTTATTCCTATTGAATTGTTTAAAATTATAAGTATTTATTTATAACATTCATGTTCTCTTAAAATAAAATATGGGTCAAGTATAAAACAACATTGAATATTATTATGAAAGTTATTTGAATATTTTGTGAAACTATTCTGAAAATTGTACTAAATGTTTATTTTGAAAATATCGAATATTTTATTTAAAAGTTGTGTATTGTTTGAATTTTGAACATCACTCTAGTCTGACTATAATTTGGACCCTAGCCAATGAAGGTTATTTATTGGCATAGAAACTAGTTTCTTAGGGGCTTTACCACCGGCTTATGTGTGGTTCTAGGCCTTGTCACGGGCAAAGTGACCGTAGTCACCAAGACTTGGGTTTTGTGAATCGCATCATTGAACCATCTGAATATTGAACCATCGATTTGAACAATGAAATTTCTTCGAATTATTTCATTGACTTTTCAATTAGAATGTATTGCTACACTGTTTATTTTCAACTATGAAACCATCTTACAAAATAATTGTTTATTGAATTGTAGCAAAAATATATTTATTGGTTATCGACTATTTTTTTTTTTTTTTGTATGCTTGATCCAGCTAGCAGTGATGGCTGGTTATTTACTGGGTTGTCTAGCTTATCCTTATTTTATTTTATTTTTTTTTCAGATTTTGAGGAGTAAAGTTGCGCAGGGTTTTTACTTGTGGGAGGGCCGAGAGTAGGACTATGATTTAAGTACTTGGATTATTATTTTATTAGTGGACTTGGTGGACAATTTCATATGATAAGAATTATTTATTTTTATGGATTTTGGCATTATGATAATTAAAGGTTTAATTTGAGTATTTTTATAGCGATCCCGGGTTTACCCTTGTTGTACAGTGATCCGGACATGTGCCCGTGGATGATAGTAGTTGATTATTACCTTGTGTACATCCTTTCTTACTTTGTATTTGAGTTATAGGTTGTGTTGGGCAGATTTGTTACAGGTTGGTTGAGATTAGAAACCAAAACTAGTTGCCCAGATTTTGACTTGTCCGCTCGAGCGGGGGTTTTGGCGCTCGAGCGGGAGTTTCACCCATCCAGTATTTCCTGTGCAGTGTTCGACGCTCGAGCGTAGGATTGGCCGCTCGAGCGGGAGACCTGTCTGCAAAAGTTCTGGGAGTGTGTATCCGCCGCTCGAGCGGGATTGTTGACGCTCGAGCGGGAGTCTGTGAGTGACGCTCGAGCGGGGAGTTTGACGCTCGAGCAGGGCGACTTTTATATAAAGCCGAGATCCGACCTTTTTGTTCACTTTTCAACATCCTTTCTCTCTCTTACTTTTCCAAAAAGCTATTTTGAGAGTTCCTCACACTAAAACCCTAACTTCTCTTTTAGGATTGATCTAGTAGGAGTTGTTTTCTCGCCTTGGGCCTTTACAAAAGTTGTGTTCATCGTCGAGGGCTATCTTTTAATCTGAAAATTTCGGGATTTGGAGCATTTCCGTTTCTTCATCTCCTTCGTTGCGTCCCATCATTCGAGGTAGGGATAACCTACTCCATCTTATGAACTTTGTCTTTGAATTTTAGCATTTTGATATGTTGGGGGTTGTTGGGTAATTTTGAAAAAGTTTGGGCCTTTGTGAAATTTTACGAAAGTTGGGGTTTTAGCTATATAAACCTATATGCATGTTAGGCATAGAGAAATGAGATTAATGTTGGGACATTGATGGAAATGGAACCTTAGGGTTGTTTTGTGAATTATGGTAATTTGCCCTTAGCGCTTAGTAGTAGCAAAATATATTAACACTAAGTGAAAAGATTAGCGCCAAGTGACTGCAGAATCTATTAGCATGGCCAACTTGTCTAAGTCTGGACACTTACTGTTTCCACACTTGAGTGTGAGACATGATAAGGTGCTTCTTTGTGTGATTCCTTTACTAGGCTAACATTTTGTTTTGAATAACGTTTACCACTAAGCGCAAACATTGCAGCATAGTAATGAAAAGGTCAAGGCTGACAAAATTGTTATGACTCTAAGAATTTGACGCATCGCTTGTGAGAGCATTGTGTTGAATTAGACTCTTTAGCCTAATTCGCGCTTAAGTTACTTCAGGAGCTATCATAGA